ACCACTAATAGTATGCAAGTTAGGCTTTTCAAAATTTTTCCATTCATTTAAACAACTGGAAAGGAGAGGAAAACTTTTCTATTCCTCAAGTATGTTTGAAGATGATGAAAAATCAAAGAAAGATAAGAATTTCCTAGCCATGCATCACATTCTCTCTCGTTCCATGAGTTTATTTGGTGTGACACATGAGAAAAAGGGAAATGCTAAAGGCGATAAAGTTATTGTTAGCAAAAATCTTTGCCTTCTAGTCCTGTGCTCAAGTGTACTCGTAATCATTCTAATGTACCACTAAAATTAACATCAATTACTTCACCATGTTTATTACCATTCATACCCAGTACAAATTTTGTAAAATCATTCCACATTGATAAAAGCATTTTTGTGAATAACTTTTCATGTATATTTGAATAAATTTGTAGTTGTACCATATTGGTAGTAATTATTTGCTCATTAGTTTATAACTCTTCTATGTTGGTGTCTACTTTCTTATTTTTCAATCATGTTGATCGTAAATTTTTCAAATTCAGTATTTGTTGATGATAATTTTTCTAGTGATTTATACACTCTAGCTATATTTTGATTTATTTCGTCAAATTTTTTATAATAATACGTTATCATCGTTATCAGTATTAATTACTAGATTTATAACCATAAACTGTTGTTCTTTGAGTACCAGACAGAATTGGAAAATCTGGTGGATTAAAACGAAATTTATTATTATTATTATTATGTAGATTATGCACATCAGTAGAATGCTTCGTCGTTAAATTTGCTCTAAATTCTTTGACCACCAGACACTTCATGTTGTTGGATTGATGATTGCCATTGCAGTGAATACATTGTAATTCATTAGAGTTAGAGTATTGTTTCAAATTTTTGTATTTATCACCGGGTATTTTAGACATATCGTTAATCTGTTGGTATCATTTACGAAAGTGGACTATTGCCATACATTTCGAACAAATAAGGACATGTGCAGGTGCTAGGTATTATTCTATTTCATATGATAGGGAATGTAAGGAAATTTAGCAGCTGATTCGAGTATTTCTCACAACAATTCGTCTGACCAATTAAGCCACAAGACAAAAAGCTAGTAAGCCACCTAGAACTTCCCCAGCTCTATCTGACGGTGTCATCAGATCTCACAAAATTTCAACTGCGTCATTAGAACACCTAAGAAAATCTATAACACATATAGGGGCAAACAAGCATCTTTCATCAAAATCCTGACAATTCGCCTGAGTACATAAACCAATCGTGAGTCAAATATCAATCGATGCCCAATGTCACGCTCTATCGAATGATGTGAAATTCATCGGGATAAAAGATCGTTATAGCCGGTTAAGTTTCATGAAAACCTAGAAAACCAGACTTTCACAAGTCATACATATGATAATCCGCTCAGAAGCTTAAGTCAACCTTGAAAATAACGCCATCCGATGCAAAATCTCCAGGTCTATTCAATGTTGTATAGCTTTCTTGCGTGAACATCTACTAGATGAGACTTTGCCCCATAAAAACTTTGGAAATCTAGCAAAACGTGAGATCCCTGATCACTAAATCCTATGAAAATTTGTTTAAACACATAAGCCACTGGTGAATCGTTCATCATTGGATAGAGCGGCGAATTAGGCATCAAATGATGTATGATTCGTTAGTGAGTTATGTACTTCAGCGAATCATCATGAGATTTAGTGGTCAGGAACCACACTTTTTATTAAGTTTCCAAGGTTTTTATGAGTTAAAGTCCCGTGTAGTTGATGTTCACTCGTGTAGGCTATACTATATTTGATAGAGCTCGCGATTCTGTATCGCTTGATGTTGTTTCTAAGAGTGACTTATGCTTCTGGACGAGTTGTCATAGGTATTACTTGCGAAAGTCTGGGTTTCGAGGTTTTCATGGAATTTAACCGGCTATAACAGTCTTTTATCGCGATGAATTTTACACCATTCGATAGAGCGCGAAATTCTGCATCGATTGTAGGATCCATAGCCGTTCGTTGTGCCCCTACTATATTTTAAACCAGACACTTCTTTCTTTTTAGTTTTCAGAGTACAAGCAGATGCATCTTGCTTTGGTTTATAAGATGCATGTTGATGGTTGATAATCAACATAGTAGACAGAAATACAGCACCTCATGGCCCCGATTCTACTAAGTTTTTATTTGAATTGAGAGAGGCGATCTCAGAGTAATAGTTCGTTTTCCCACAGATCTTATCGTACAAAAATGAAACATTATGAAAAACTGCCTTCTGATCTCATCAGCAAAACGCGCTAGTTTGAGCCTGAAAAACGTGAAACATAATGATGATCCATCCGCTGACACCCTAAAGAGACTCTAGTCGGAATGAGCTTATCCGATGGATATCATGCATTTTTTTTAAGTGAACATTTTTATTTCTTGAATAGAAATGTGACGACGATAGTTATAATTGAGAAAAGACATGCGCCAGTTCCAATCTCACCAATTTCTGGAGCTGGAATTGGACTGGATCGGAACTGATGCTAGTGACAATCCACGATGGGACTGTGAGCAAGTATAATCTTCCTGAATTTTAAGGAAAATCGAATTTTGGTAACATAAGATTGTTATTTTTCTGCTTTTTATACAGAAATACCTAATAATTAAAACGGAGTTCAGCTGACTGAGCGATCTCAGCGCTTTTTTGGTTCCTAAAGGCCTCACGTCACAAGGTCCTCTGAGATTTCACCTCTCGGAGCGTTAATGGCTGATGGACCCCTAATTGAGAACGTTTTTGTTTGAACTTAAATATGCCAGATAGTATCTTGCATAGAGCACGTGGAATATGACCCTCTTTACTAAAAATACCATTGTTCGCTGATTTTTTTATGAGACCATCTTTTGTTTTATACAACAGCATTTTGTCCATTATGTGTGTACCCCATTCGAGACCTGAACAGTTGGCAGTTCTGAGCCTATCAATTCCAAAGTTTTCGGACCTCCACGGTACTTCCAATGCCAACGAATTGTTGTAGTCTGAGTCTGTTAATTACTCCGAGTTATGTTATTAAAACGACTACATATTTCTCAGATAGGCTCAGAACTGCCAACTGTTCAGGTCTC